TTGAATAAGAACAACTTTTGGAAGAGCAAGGCTATGTGAAAATTCAACGAAAACGCCAGCTCAACTCATATCATTGTGGGAAAAATCTTCTTCTACCAGTCCTTCATCACCTTAAACGAAATTGGGTGAATACATCTTATATTACTGATTTACTGGTAGTCACGAAGACAATACTTAATTCGAAAGATAAATAAGTAATTTAGTCGGCTGCTATAGCAAATATAATTTTGCTTTATCGGCAATCCCACCACAGAATGTGATATTGGAAAATGCCTGGTCTTCCTTGAGATTCACATCTGCCCTGTAATCCAGGGGCACTCGTAGTAATTGGCGTAGTTGTTAGCGTGTCGAGATCACACGCTGCACTGTAATAATTCGAGTCTCGCTGGGGGCAAGGTCGAAACTGCAGTCCATCCTGGATGAAAATACATTTTGGGAAAGCAGTGTTATGTGAAACTCATATCAGTATCGAAAAATGAAGGACTCTTTATTCCCATAATGAAATATGGAGAATACACTTGATGCATAAATCAAAGACTGTCTTCACATAATTAGTAGTATAAAAGAAGAGCTAAACGCTCAATTGTACATGTTTGATTGGAATAAACATAACTTTCGACAAATAATCAGCTGCATTTACACCATTTTCGATCATCTATTTATCATCAAAAGCAAACACAAATAATAAGATACCATCATTAAAAGTTCATAATATCACCAAAAAATACTTTCAGAAGTCAACCGTAAAATAACTTTTCACTAAGTTGGGAGAATTCGCTGCGGCTCTTTACATAGGGACAGTATGAAATTCCTACTTATGCTGCAACAATCCTGTGTATATAAATAATTGTTTATTATAGTTGGCCCAGATACACGTCCTAGTCCCCAGGCCGTGGGGAGCTAGTGCCAACCCAATGGAAGTTGAATGTAAGTATAACATTGAAGTCGTTTGAAAGTTAGCCGTATGCTCAAATATAATAAATATAAGTTATAGTATAGTTTACATTCCAATATTCGTTTAAAAAAATTTTGTGAGGACTTTCATTTCTTATGAAAGTGCCTGGTAAATAGATAAAATGGAAGAAACGGAAGTAGAAAGTTCGGTAGTAACTACCTAGATTTGATTGATAGACTAAGGAATAGATAGGATATAGAGCCGTTTAAAAAGGAAGATAACCCGACTAGTAGGCTCATTGGTTTTGATTAGCTTCACATTCTATCTACACACCTGGTTAATTCATCAAGTCAACCAGATTTACATCCGGGATTACACAATTGCTATCATTCGTTTATCCAGATCACTGAACTTAAATGCGCTTGGACTGAGGCTAGGCTCCGTTCTAACAACTCAGTGTTATGACCCTGATTTTTACACCCTGAACACGCAGGGTAGCATATTTAAAAAAATAAGAACCTAGATTGGCAATAAAAGGAACTAACAAAAACACTAGATATCTCCTTATATTCAGCTTATCTTTGATATTGTTGTAAATATATCTAAAATGCCAGAACTGATTGGCTCGGATGACTTAGTGCTTGCTTACAGTTTTAGCAGGAATTAAATCCAGCTCTAAAGACATCTGGAAAATTAAATGGCAGACGAAAACTCAAACAGTTTTAACAGGAACTGAAGCAAGTCGTCAAAATGAACGTCATGATAACATCAAATGATCGGAGGGCAAAAGGAATGCGTCCTCTTCTGATGAGATCAACCTAAGAAGTTCTGCATCAGCCACTTTACTATGTAATGAGAGTAAAAGGGATAATGTCATGTCAGGGGATCTCATGAATCACTAAACTTAGAAAAGATTTTGGTCGTCCATAGATTTTAATACTTCAAGAGATGCAGTACTTTACCACCAAATAATTTCCGTGAAATATAAGCGCTTATAGCTAGGGACCTGTGGATAAAAATTAAAAACTTTGCTGGTTTTGGCGTAGCTCTGAAATTGCTCGTTCGTCTTGTGGCACCAGCTCCGAACCGAATTCATGGTGGATGCTGAAGCATCACGGATATCATCAAAATGCCCAGTAAAGAGTGGCAATCGAAAGGAGGACGGTTCGCTTAGTAAATTAACCTGACTGAAATTCGGGCGAGATGCAAAGATAATATGCTTCACCTCAAGATTTGCTTCAGCAAGATTGCAGCGCGTCGTCTCGGCAATACGTTCTATCTCAACAAGTCGCGTCTCAACCTGTCTACGAGCCGCTTCTGCCTGAACACACTCAGTTTTGGCAGATTTAATTTGGGCTTCAAGCTCCTGCTGCTGGTTGGAATTGGCATTCTGGCCAATAGGGAAAGCGAAAACGAGACACAGAAGGTAAAGAAAATTGAATACATTTATATATATATATAAATATATATATATAAATAAATTAGCATATATCGAATTTTCATTTTATGAGTATATTATATTATAATGTAGGGGCCAATAATGAAAATAGCAACGATGAAATGAAGAGGCTCTCATATTTAAGTTGGACTATAACTTCGGCCTCGTAAATGTCTCCCAATTAGCTTTGGTGGGACTCGGAATGTAGACGTTTGTATTCAAAAAATGAAATGCCGTCAAGTTTGGGAGGCAAATGCAGTCGTCACTGCAGAAGAAGTCTTTCTAAATTCACACTTGTGGTGAATAATGTTATGTGGAGCAAGGAATAAGCACTTTTACGCTTCTGAAATTAAGTGAGCAAGATCGGGTTTGGGGAGAGGTCGAAAAAGCAAGTTATGGAAAGTAGATAAAAACTTGGTAGAAAAACAAGGCAATTTCTTAAATTCACTCTTGTTAGTAGATATGAAGACCAAAGTTTTGTGGCGTTTGTTTAGGTTGGAATCTCCTTTCGATTTGAAGAAATGGCCTGATCTCGTTTGCACAACTTAGTTGCGTTGTAGAGGTGACCTGGTAGGACGCACCTTGTCCAAAATCCTCTGTTATAGTAATTATGGTAATTCCTAGCGTTTGATTGTGCACTCGGTACATTCCCAGACGTTTCACTGGCATCCTAGGCGACATGGTCAATGAGTTTTACCATTCTCAGAACCAAGAGACAATTCGTCAAAGGGACAAGTGAAGTCAATCCCTTGACTAACTTTTTGCCGAATGTACAAAAACTGGGCTTCGAAGAATGGTTATGATATCGCTCCTTTTTGACCTTACACATCTACCAACTCCCTATTCTCCTATCACATTCCAACCTTGTCACAACCTGTGGCGCCCTTAAAGGCGCACACACTGTCGCCTCACCGAGCAAGGCGCCTAGACCCTAATTGCCATGTTTGCAGATATCAGGCATTGTCTCCACGGTAAATCTGTATGATTAAAATGTGAATGTTTATCTCTGGTCGCCTGCCACCTATCGTGCCGAATTTCTGTGACGCTTAAGATTATCCGTCGCCATAATCCTGTGGCCTCCAGGTCCCCAAAGTAGAAGATGTTTCTTCGAGCGGATTATATTCATATTCTTTCTGCTGCCTTCCAGTTGATCTCGTGTCCAGTCTCAGTAATGCGTTCCCCTATCTCTGATTTTTCGGTATCCATTTTCCTTCAGAGTATATAATGTTGCTGATTTTAATCTCTCTCGCCAATATGCTATGCAGTAAACTCCTGAGTAATCCAATTAGTCTACCTTTTCATGTTGCATAGGTAGACTTGTTAAATGTGGCTTTTATTTCGTGGCCACCTTAATATTCCATTTTATTAATATTGGTCGTAGTTTTTAGTTCGTTTAGTACATCCACTTTTGTGAGTCTTTCCTCATCCTTATTTTTCTTTTATAATTTCCGTCCAGCCATCGGATTTTCATGGTCCGCATAGTTCTTTGTATTACTTCGATCGGATATCCGAGTCAATTTGTCCAATTCTTCATTTCAGAATTCCACGTCCGATAATTGTAGGCTTCTGCTGATCATGCTCCTACTTATTCTGATCTTCAGTTGTGTTTACATTGAAATTGACTACTATCCCGGCATATAACTTCTTTTTGAACAATGATTTCAGGATGGCAGGCTAGCCATCCAGCGATCTTTAGTGGGGCCAGTCTGCGAATCTCTTTCCATCGAATTGATAAAAAGACCTAATAAAAGGAAATTTTAACGAATACAGAATAAATGCGACATTATCTCACTCAATCGACTCTATTTAGTATCAAAAGTTTAATCGAAGAATCACATTTAAAATTAAGATTTGCTTGTGATGAAAGGTTTGAATAAAATAAAGTCACACTATTATTTTGAATTAATGATCATTTATGCGGAAAGAAGGTA